TAAGTTGAGGGTTGTTCAATTATACGTGCTTGCTATTTATTTCAAGCAGGCTGGACTACCCATAAGTTGGGTAGCCTAGTCTTATATTGTATGTCATTGTTTGGGATGGCTAGCCACAACATAAGTTGGTGTGTTATAGTCATATGCCTTTTGTCGTTTGTTCAGGCAAAAGTTGGACCTCCTCATAAGTTGAGGCGGCCAGGTAATTGCGTATGTCGAATGTTTAGGCAAACCGACCTCACCATAAGTTTGTGCGGTCTGGTCTTACACCTTATGTCACTTGTTTAGGCAGAAGTTAGTCACACCATAAGTTGGTGTGACTTAGTCGTATGTCTTATGTATATCTGTTTTACCAGGCTAGGGCACCAAAAGTTGGTGCCGCCTAGCCATATAACTTGGGCAGGTCAATCACACCCATAAGTTGGGTTGTCTGATCTTATGCATTATATAAGGAAGGGTAAAAGGGTAATAATGTGAGACTGAAACTAACTATGTGATCAGGAAAGGAACCTGAGGGTTGGCGACAGATGTTATTGTGCTCACTTGTGTGTGTGTTTTGGGGTATTTTTTTGGGATATTATTTTGATAGCTTAGTAGCTATAGAAGATCGTTGAGTGTTGGAGCTATAGGCAGGTAAGATAGATGATCGGAGGGAAGCTTGGGATAAGATAGGACTGACTTTACTAGAAGTTAGTGACTAGTTCTAGCTCACGATGCAATCTTCAAAGAAGGATCGTGTAGACTATCTCCAGTTCTAGCTCACGATGCAATCTCATAGATGTCAAGTGAGTGTCAGAAATTAGTCCCACGTATAGCTGTACTTTGCTTTTGCATTTTTCAGCTTTGTATAAACCTTGGCAGCCTCCTTCTCCTACAGGAAGCACTGCCGAAAATTTTACAAATCTGAAAGAGTTGGTCATTTTTTGGCTCGCAAAAATTTTGAAAAGGCACTTTTCCTACTGGAAGCGCTGCCTATGAAATTTGGACAGTTAGATTATTTTCTGCTAGGAGAAATTTGCCAATCCACCTTGTTTATGGGAAATGTTGTCGAAATTTTCAATAACTTCTGGTACCAATTACAGGAAGGTGAGAGAAAAGTTAAACCACCAGTGCTTGGCCCATACATCGGCCGCGGGCCCTTAGCGTTAACGCTACGCGTTTCCGGCGCCTCGGCAAAGGCTTGGCATGGCAATGGGGGAGGGAGCTGGTGGCCCCATGGAAACGGGGCAAAAGGACTACACGATGTCCTCGTGGTGTGCTATGTGGAAACGCGCGGACAGTGGTAGCAAGGAGGCAAAAAAACAAAAAAGAAAACGGACGAGGAAAAAATAAAGATAGATGGTTGATTTCCTTTCTTTTCTTTTTTTTTTTTGGGGGGGGGGGAGAAATGTATCTGGCTTCACTTCTGCATGAAGTTATATGAATCTTAGGGCAATCACGTTCAGATGCTGGTTTCCCGTTTCCCCCTTCTCGTTTTTTTTTTTTTTT